TGGGTGTTGGACTCTTTGAAGAAGTGCGGATTTTTTCTTCCTTCCCGTTCAGTTATCCATGTATCCTCTTCCCATTGATCCTCCAATTCCTTGAAGGATTGGGGCTTTCCCCCCCTCTTGCTTGATTCTCCTCCGCTGATGCCTGGTATGCGGAGGTCATTGATCACGAGGAGGTGGCATCATTCCAGCCTTCATGGCCTCCATGAAGACCGCTACAACCCTCGCTATTTCCTCAGTTGAAGGTCCCGTCTGAAGGGTCCTTCGCCGAGTCTGGGAGCGAGCAGGAATGCTCAGAGGTGGACTTCGAGCGTTAGAATGATTCTAACGTTGAGGATTCGTCCGTTGAGAGTGATGAGAGGGAGAATGAGTTCTCTCTCTTGATGCCCCCCCCCCCCCCCGAGATGGCTTCCCCTGAGGAATGCCCGCTCGGCGAGGCTTACGGGGACGGAGAGGGCTTCTTTAGTGCCCCGTGGCTCCTCTTTGACAAAGAGGTGCCCCTCCCGTCGGATTTCTTGTTTTTACGGTTCTTAGCCATTGATACTAAGATTAGAGTATAATTATTGAGATTGGCTTAAAGATTTTTTTTTAAAGTCTTCCCCACATACGGCGCCAAATTGTTTCGGGTGAAAACAATGGGACCTTGCCGAAGGTCCTTTGAAGTGGGCTGAAGACTAGCTCGGTCCAAGTAATGCTGGGCCGAGGATTTCCTGCACAACAGACACACGTAAACTGGCCTCGTGGGTGTGCTGAGGAAGACCCCTCTGATGCTGAAGTCAATACAGTGTAGAGAGAGAAAGTGCTATGCAAGAGTACTAATTGCTTGAGGCTATTTGTGAATGAATGCAATGTAAGAGGAGTGAAGGCTTTTATACCTTAGCACAATGAGGAGAAGTGGGCTTCAAGCCAAGTGGGCTGACCATGTTGACCAGACCCTTGACTTAACTTGGCATAGACTGGATAATTGGACCTTTGACTTTGGACTTTAATTGAATCATTGATGGACTAGGCCCAATTGGGCTAGATTGGACCCAAACACCTTATACCTCCAAATAAAAGTAGAAACAAACTTTTAACCAATGAATTTGTATGGACTAAAAATGAATGTGAACAAGACCTATATTTGAATGTCTCGTTGTATTATTTCTATCTCCAAACAAAAGTTGAAATGAATTTATGATCTATCTAAACTCTTGAGCAACCATGCAAATGATAAAAACCATAAAATGAGGATACCAAATTAAATTTTGTGGTTTGTGAAGCCATAAATTTATGCAATTTGGCTTGTCAAAATGGAAATTGTTGCAACTTGTAGTTTGAACACATATACTTGTGCATCTCTTAAAATTCTATATAAGATTCGTTCACTTTTTTTAGGTTGAAAATTGTGGAGGCAATGATAATGTGAATGAGAAGTGGGCGAGCTAGTTGGCCATTAAGGATGGGTAGTTATCCACCTTTAACTAAGTCAAAGGCCCAAGTCGCATAAGGTGAACAATGAACTCATAAACGAAATTGTGACGACGGCCCCAAAGTCTTGATCGAGTAGAGGGAACTCATTAATGATTAAAAATGGAATATTACTACACTCCCCGTCCCCGTCCATCCTAAATGAGTCACTTTTGTATACGTTTGATGTACAGTAATTATTGTACTCATATTAGGGTAACTTTTGCTTATTTTAGTACAACTTTATAATATTAATTGTACATCCGATCAATTTAAAAGTTTGTCGTCCTAAATCATAGTTCGAACGCTTCTAGTGCAGGCACAAAGTTTTAGGCAACAAGCTATTGAGATTTTACTCGTATTATTTGATAGAACAGTAAATGTGATAGGAGATACTAGAGTGTTACCAAATATTGTACAAGATAGTGAAGTGTTATTTTACTAGAGAGAGAAAAGGCTGATATTATGTGAAATAATAATTGTGTCTTTTACCAATAGAAAATGTTTAAACTAATATGTAATTGATAGAAAGAAAGCGTTTAAACTAATTTCGGATGAAGGGAGTATGAAACACCCTAATTTCGGATGAAAGAAGTATGAAACACCCTACTTGTGAGGGGCAAGGTAAGGAATCTTAGCTTCTTCCCTTACAGTGTGTACAATGTCACACTCCTACCATCGCTCTATTTCGATTTAACTATATTCTCATAAATTATTGAAAGATTTTTCACGCAACAAATGCACCACGTTGAAATTATTCTAGGAATTACGTATGAAAAATGTGTTAAATTAGATAAGAAGTTTCAAGTAACTTTAACTTTTTTTTATAAGAAAAAAGCGGAAAGGCACACGAATGATAGGTTGGAGAAAGTTGGAGTTGATTCATATAGATAGGAAGCAGTTTATCAAATATTCCAATTATTATTCATTCTCCCAAAAACTTCTTATAAATCCAATAATATAAAAATAAAAATAAAAAATAAAAATAAATAAATAAATAAAATAAAATAAAAAACTCTTAACAATATACATTGCATGAAATGGATACCAAGGAACACTTGAAGAGTTGAAGATATCATATGTAAAATAGAAACACGTGAATAGATATGAAAAATATATGAATATTATATCACTGAGTATAATTTTTTTTTGAATATTTTTCGATGATATAAAAACATTTTCAACCAATGTCCAAAAATGTACTCCTCATATATTATCATTAAAAATACAAAGAGTATAGAGTTTGTTGTACATGTATTGATACTGCGCTAGACAAAATATAAGCTTAAAGTTTATATCAACAAACAAGCACAATCAAAATGGAACATGAGAGTGAGGGATATCTCAATTGATTAGAGCTTTTCACTCAATTTCAGGTGATACTGGGATCGATTTTCATCACCCGTCCTTCACTACAAAATTAAAAGTTTTTTATTAACTAAGTTTGGCAACACACTTTAAAACGTTGCTAAATAGCAACGAATCTAATTTTTTTTCCATTGCCAATTAAAAGTGACAACATTTTATGCTTTAGTTTTTTTAATAAGTAATGGCTACATGTTTTTTATTTGTTCTTGTTTAAAACAAATTGTCTTACTAGTTACTATATGTCATCATATTTTTCTCTTGTTGCCATATAATAACAAACTATGGCAACAAATATTATATTTTTATTGATTTAGAAACAAACAAAAGCAATGAATTTTAGAATTTTGCCATTAGAAACAAGTCGTCTAAACTATTGTTGCTAGATGATAACGTATTTTTTTATTTGTTGCCATCGAAAACAAGTTGTGTAACATTTTGTTGTTAATTTATATGCGTAGGCCACTTTTTGCTATTATGTATAAAATTATTTGAAAACACTCTTATTATTTGTAGCTATATGACATCAAATAGAGATGGATTTCAATTTCGTCTCTAATTTAGAGACGGATTTATTATTTGTTGCTATATGACATCAAATAGAGATAGATTTCAATTTCGTCTCTAATTTAGAGACAGATTTATTATTTGTTGCTATATGACATCAAATAGAGATGAATTTCAATTTCGTCTCTAATTTAGAAACTGATTTTTGATTTCGTCCCTAATTTAGAGATAAATTTTTTAATTTCGTCTCTTTAATTTCGTTCACTTATTATAAATTATATGCATAAAAGTAAACAAATAGTACTTGGTATAGTTGGTAAGAGATTCACCATGTGACTTTGAAGTCACAAGTTCAACTTCTACCAAGTGCGATTCTTGAGACTGGGGATTCAAAGAGTCTTACCTGCAAAGTCGAGCTAAGCTGAATTGCTAATAGGGATTGGGTTTTTGTCTTGAAGTGTTAATAGCAACCAATATTTATGATTTGTTGCTATTTTTATGAACCAATCTTAATAATTTGTTGCTATTTTTAGGAACCAACATTAATAATTTGTTGCTATTTTAGGAACTGACATTAATAATTTGTTGCTAATTTTAGCAACAATCAATGGTAATTTGTTGTCAAAGTTGACAATAAATGCACCAAAAATAGCAACCATCATGGAAACTATATTTAAATGGATGCAATATTGCAACAAAATTGTTTTGCAACTGATAGCCAAAATCCCATGGAAAAAGCCTTTTAGCAACAACAAATTTTCATTTCCAACCCGTTGCTAAATAGAGTTGGCAACAAATTTTTGGTGAATAGCAACAAATTTTAGTTGATGCTATATTGACTTAATTTGTAATGCTTATGCCTCTCTAAACTCTAAAAAATCACTAAAATGGAACATTTAAGATCGGAGTTTCGAAGGGAATATATCGGATATGTAAGTACTCCATAACTGTACTAGTGTGTGAGTGTATGTGTCCATGCTTCCTTACGATGTTGAACTCAGCTGCAAAATTAATAGCATCAATGAAAGCAAGGTTCCTGGGCCAAACATACACTATTAGATGATTCAGATCAATAACCATTTGCTTATCTCATTTGAATAGTAGGCAGTCGCTAAAAAAGATATACTCCGTATATTTTTTTAAGGTAAGGATACGGATCGTATTGGAAAAAAAGGAACATTTGGATTCCAATTTGAGGGAACTCTTAATGCATTACCTAAAATTTTTATTGTTTCCCGGCTAATTTAGCATAAAAAAGCTAATTCTAGTACAAGTTACTAAATTGAACAAAAAGATGATTAGTTTAAGGAACGAATTGAATATATAATTAATCCTTCAAACTCGATTATTACAGCTCAGAAATCGAAAATACAATAGAAAACATCTATTAAACTTATTACCGAAAGTCAATTGGCGAAAAAGTTTATATACCAAATACTAATTATATGTACCACCTCCGTTAATTGTTATCTGCAACTTTCGAAATTTTTATATCTCTCAAATATTGTTTCATTCAAAGTTGCAGATAATAATTAACGGAAGTGGTAAATACTAAATAGAGTCCAAAATTAATTAATAAACCATCAAATATACATACATTAACAAAGCAACAGATGAAACAATAACACTACTCCGTACTTACTAACTTATTAGCATTACTAAATAAAAACTATACTCGATCACTAATAACCACCAAGTACATCTAATTGATGAAAAAACTGATCATACAAAAAACTAGTATGATCAAAAACACCAAAATTACTATCTTGCCCCTTAACAAAAACACCATCAAACTCCTCAGATGAACATACAGAAGGGGAAGATCCATTCATATTATCGACTATAACCGGAACAGATGTACTTTCATTAGTATTATCAGCATAATTCTTCGTTACCTCGGCCGTGTTTACGTTGATGATGTGATCTTCATTAACCATCCATGTATCATTTCCACCACTGGTCTCCATGATGTTAACAACATCCGATTCTCGCCCTGTAAGCTCTTGTACAATCGCTCTAAACTTAGAAGCGCTTGTAGTAACTTTCATAGGGGTTGAGATGTACACAACCTTCATCGCTTCGACTTTTTTGAATAATTTCTTGGTCATCCCTTTGTTTTCTGATGATTTTTTGCTTCTTTTGCCCTTTACTAGCAGTTGTTGTTGCCTTTGATGCTGAGCTAAACTGTGAATATCCATTTTTTTTTTTGTTTGTGGATACTAGTTAGTTAATAAAATTATTTACGAATTAACAATTTATTAGAAGAGGGGAGGGTAGGGTTTATATAGTGGTTTGCCTTGGAGATTATTTTTGTCTTTTTTAAAGAAGGTTTTGATGATGAAGTACTAGAAGACTGGTTGTTTCGTGGAAGGGTGTGTGAGAGAAAAAGGGGAGGTTATATTTGTTGGTGTGGATTGATTGAAATTAGTGAATAGGATGGGTTTAGATTAGTTAATTATTATGGAAGTTTGAAGGAAGAAAAACAGAACATTCTGTTGACATATTAGTTAACTACTATGACTGGGAAGCTTATATATACTAAGCCGGTCGTATCATTTTACTTGTCCCCTTTGATGATAAAATTCGGTCATATGTGACAAGTAGTATGTGAGAAAGGGAGTAGTTTATTTACAGTTTATTAAGGTTGAGGTATTTTTATGTAGATTTTGTATTCTATTTGCATGAATTAGGGAAAATTTTGATCTTTTTAGGTGAAATGAAGTTGGATGATGTGGTTCACATAACACATTTGGGAGGATTACTACTAATATTATACAACTTCGTTCGTGATCCAAGTGACTTAGGACCTGTTCACTTTAGCTTAATTTCAGTTCAGCTCCTAATTTTCTTTTCTTATAAAATATCCAATTTAGTTTACTTCAGCTCACTTCAATAAATATGAACAAACCCTTAGTATTAATTGAGACTAGAAATAAAATAACGAGATGATGTTAGAGATGAAAAAGGCTTTATGTATATAGGCAAGTGTTAAAATTAAATCCTTACTCACGTACACCTTTCTGAAAAAATCACCTAGTTTATACTTGTAGGTTTTTTACCCAATATACCTTATGTTTCTTGAACTTAAAAAAAAAAAAAAGAAAAAAAAAAAGGGTTTCTTGAATGAAACTTATATTTAATCTAATGTTATTATTTATTAAATTAAAACTTTTATTTAGTTGTAACTTGAACTTGAGTACACTATTTCTTATGTTCTTGAACTTGTACATATATACTCCGTAATAAACTAGCTATTTTTAAATTGAACCTATTTTCTTTCCTAAAAGTTAGGAATGTGGATTTGTTTTTCTTAAATTTAGTGAAAATTACTAAACAAAACCAATTCTAAAAATGGGTAGGTAACTAATGTAATTTTGTGTTTTTTTTTGGTTAAAATAGGTAAATATACCCATCAAGGCTTGAAGTAGCAGCAGTTTTAGTAGCAGTAGCAGTTAGGGGAGCTAGGAGTCCATTTTACAGACATAGGATTCGTACATATAACATACTAATAACACTCACATCTCGGGTTTGAATACTAGAGCTATTAGGAAAGGGGTTAGCAGACAAAAGCTTTAAACAAAAGCTTCAAATCTTTTTATAACTCATCTCTCCTAACCTTTGAAATTTTTATTATCAAAAAAAAAAAAGAGTTAACAATCGTACAGTTTATCAATGTTTTGCTTCATATCTAGTCGTGGTCCTTACATTTGCTCATTTATTTTGTCACAACTAATCAATATGGTTTGAGCTTTCAATTTTTTAGTCTATAGTACCTTCCTTGATTTACACCTTAGAGCAACCATAACCATGACAAAAATTGTCATGAAAAGTGGCTTTTATTTGTAGATGAAAAAAAACCATGAAAACCTACCATGACAAAATTCTAGTCATGCCATGATAAGAGTAGAAAAACGCCATGGGATGACAAAAATCCTTCATTGGGTCCATGTAATAAGTGGGCCCCACATTCTCGTGGTTATAATTTTGTTAAGTTGTATGTACCTCTAAATGTGTCGTTTCTCAAAATGTGTCGTTTCATAATGACTTTTATTTTGATTTGATAAGATGAGAATTTTTAAACGTATTACACCAATTTTAAATAAATGGTTATATTTTCTTTATCAATCGTTTCACAATATTTGACACACTACCATTATAAATACATATTTAGCACTCTTGATCACCATGGATCACTTTTCTTCAATCTAACATACATGCCCCTCCCTTTTTTTTCCCAACGAACAATATACTTCATCTGTTAACAAATGTTCGACTTGTTTTTCATTTTGGAGTACTTCAATTCGTATGAGTTTAACTCACTTTAATTTTATCTTATTTTTGATAGGTTCCTTTTACTATCCACAGGGCCACACTACTTACACTACTTCACTCACACTCTTTAACTTTATCCACTTTTCAATTTTCATACACCCACCTATTTATAACTCATTATATCTCTTGTTTTATTCATATTTTTCCCACACTCATCTACTATTAATAACTTATCGTAAGTGAGTCAAACTTTCAAGAGTTCACTAACATTATATTACATCAAATTAATTAAAACACTCACTTTACAATCTTATATCTAATGAAGCATGTCGGTTATTCTAATTAAAACGGGAAGTAAAGTCATACATTAAGGGTTTGTTCATATTTACTGAACTGAACTGAACTGAGCTGATTGGAACTGAACTGAACTGAACTAAACTGAAATGAATATTTTATGAGAGAGGAAAATTAAGAGCTGAACTGAACTGAACTGATTGGAGTTGAACTGAACTGAATTAATTGGAGCTGAACTGAACTGAACTGAAAATAAGTAAATATGAACAGGCCCTAAGAGTGAATATATTTTTTTTTAATTTATTAATTCGATAGTCAATAATATTGGGTAATAAATGAAAGGGAGATAATTTAACAACGTGGGAAGATTAATAATTATGTAAATTGTAAAGTTAATTAGGAAGTTGAAAGGAAGAAGGGATATACTTTGTGGAATGTGGAAATTAGTTTGATTTGGAATTGGAAGGTGTGTGTTGTGCTTCTAGGCGATATCAAAAGAGGCAAGTGTCAAATTCCTCTTGAGATGTAATTAGCATAATTACAAATTAAACAACTGTGGAATGTTGCATGGTGGCTAGGGGTGTACAAAAATTGGCCCGGATCTGAAACTGGACCTGAACCGACCTGAACCGGACCGGACCTGACCCGGACCTGTTGATTCAAGTCCGGTCCCGGTTCTTAAAAATCCAGGTTCCCGGTCCCAGTCCGGACCCGGTCCAAACCCGGGGTTTTCAGGTCCGGACCTGAAACCCGGGAAAATCGTAATTAAAAAAAAAAAGAAGAAGAAAACCAAACTCTGAAAAATTGAAACTGAGTTTTCGTGGACTTATTTGTATTTTCGGTGGACTCATTTGTATTTTTGGTGTTTGAGAATCGGGACAGACTTTATGTAGTTTTGTAATTGATAATTTTGGTTTGTATGTAATTATTAAATTATGCAACAGGTCTAAAAATCACAAAACAGGTCCATATGCAGGTCCATATGCAGGTCCAGCAGGTTTTGTATTAAAAAAAAAAAACGAAAAAGACACAAAACAGGTCCATTCAGGTCCAAACCCGGACCGGACCTGATTTTTCAGGTCTGGCCCGGAACCGGACCTGTTAATTCAGGTCCGGTCCCCGGTCCTCATAATTACCCAATTCAGGTCCCCGGTCCAAACAGGTCCGGTCCAGGTCCGGTCCGGTTTTGGACCGGTGTACACCCCTAATATTGGTGGCTGCCTAATCTTAAATAAAATAAAACAAAATAAAATGATTTTATTTTTCTTTTTTTTGTATGGTAGAAAATGTATGTGTAGGCTTTAAAGAGTGTCAAATTATAAGTCAATGCATGTGTTCTTTGATTTGACAATATGATAAAATATGGTCCTTTTTTTTATTTGTTAGCTTGTGATATTTTTTTGGCTTTTTATACAATTAAATATGATATGAGGCATAGACAAATATATGATATAAGCAATGTCACGTCATTTGTGGTGATTCACGTAGTAATTAATAATTTTGGTTATAACTTACTTCGTATAACATAGTAACATGTCATTTTCAAACGATATAATATCCTTACTCATTTTCAATTTGTTTCTAAAGGTTTTATAAATACTACCTCCGTAATATATTATTTGTCACAATTTGACCTAAAATAGAGAAGAAAAATGTCTAATCGTTGCAAATAATATGCAACAAAAGTAGTTTGACCTAAAATATCACTCATGTTATTAATAAATTAGATCCAATTCTGCCATTACTTCTAGTATCCCATCTTGTGATAAGATGAGTTATCGTATTGCTAGATGCCTAGATTGCTTAAATAAATTGCATACATAAAAAAGTAAAATCTTCTACTATATCCAAGTTTTTAATTACACACCTCTTCTGTCTTTAAAAAAAAACGAAAAAGTGCAGCCACCCATAAACGAAAACTTATTCAAATAGCTAGAAAGTGATCATTGTTCAAGATAGTAACCCTTAAAGTTTTGTTCAAAAGTAAAATTTTTAAGTAATGAATGAAAAGGAAGGGAAAGACCAATATATAAGAGAATATACATATAAAAACATTACAATATAGTATTTTAATTAAGGTCTTGTGTTCCTAACATATCTTATGATATTAAGTCTACGTTTAATATCAGTAAGTTTACTTATCGTCAAAGTTATTTAGTATTGGTCACACAAATAAATAATAAATTAAATGGGATGAACATAAAGAAATAAAGCTCTGAATGGAGTGATTGTTATATACATCCAGATTGAAAGATACATTTTTCTCATTTGGATGATTATTGTTTATTTTGTAATCAAATAGAGCAAAAGCTAACTTTGAATTAGTTTGATGCACCATTCACACGGATGTATATAAAAAGTTTCACTCCAGATGTAGCATGACGCCGCCTTTGGAGTTTTAACAAAACTAATCTTCCCCGACTATTTTGGAAAGTTGTGATAATGTGAATAATGTAGTAGATCAAATGTCTCTAAAGAAAAATCTTCTAAATTCATGTATTGTCAATAAGCTTCTATGTGTTGTCAAGCTCACAAACAAAATTCTTGTTCAACATTTTTGGTCAAGTCTTTGAGATAGAATTAATCCCTCTATATGCAATAAGAGATGAGAAATAAACGCAAAATTCTTTTC